ACTGTAAAGAATCATCTTAGATGTAGCAGTATTAGACCTGATGTGGGAGAAGTCTTAAGTTTGAATGAGTTTAATCATTTATTAAAAGCATACATTGTCACTTCATTTGTGTATTTAGGACCTCGTGGCACAGTCCCTTACATACCATAAAATTACTTACTCTTATTGAATTAACATAATGCTTTTTATCCAGACAGAATAATTTTTCAAGAAGACTGAAGGAGTCACCCAATGCTTTTTTTACCAGCTCAGCTCTCAGTCCAAGTTAGACTTAGCTCTAGTTTTCAGAGTGGGGGTGAGGGGTAGGAGTGGAAATGCTATTTAAAAAAAAGTTGAAAATGAGGATCAGGAAGTTTTATTTACTGTTCTGACTAAAAAATCCCAAGTAAATCCTGTTTGGTTTACAGATTCTTATCATCCCAGGTTACTGTTACAGCTTCTTTTTATGGGACAAGATGCATGCATACAAGATGCTACAGATTTGAAAACAATTGCAGACAGTTTCTCTACAAATTCTATGTGTAAAGACCACCATCCTATCTGAATACCTAAAATAACTTATCACACCACATACAGCCTCACCTACATAGCTAATGCAACAGGGTGGTTTCCTAAAATATCACAGTATGTCCAGGGAGACACCTACAATATGTAGGAAGTATAAAGTCAAAGTCTTCTGGCCCCAGCCAGAAGAGGTTGCTTGTACATAAATACCTTGAAGTAGAAGAGCTTGGGATAAACTCTTCTTGGATCAGTGTGAAATGTTGTCCTGCTCTGCACTCACTGAATTTTTTGCAACATAAAGCAGAGAAACGACCATTTGTCAGCTAGTAAGGAAAAAAAAAACAAACCCCAAACCATTAAAGACCTGAAATTTATGATCTGAAATGTCCAATCCTTCCCTTCAAAAGCAGCAGTATTTTCATTCTCATACAGCAATGCAGTAGTACCTGCATCCATGCAGTACATGGACATTCGTCCTGAACTTCCAATCAGCTGTAAGCAATTCAAGACCAGTCACAGCAGCTTTAACCAATCTCATAAACCCCAGGCTTAAATAATAAATAAAAATAAACATCTTCTCATCAGTAACATCCAGGGGTTCGTTTTCTGGGCACAATATCTGTCCACATCAAGTGTGTGTGTTTTTTCATGCTGCTGTTCCTATAAAACTGTTAATATTCAGACAACTAAATAAACAGATCTGCTCTTCAAGTCAACTGCTTTTGGATTATAATTATGAAAAGCAGAAACCATCTTTGTTTTTTCCTCCCTAAACTCGAAGAAATTGAACTTTGCCCTCTCAATAAGGCTGACTCAACAGGATGAGTAGAATACAAGCACAGAGGTCAAGTGGCCTAAGAAATGTGTTTTGAATATCCATACAAAAAGGCTGACCAGAAGCAACAGAAAAAATACCTGAATTTTAACAAGCTCAGTGCTTATACCACACTCTAAACAGAGCCCGTTTTCAGAGTGTGATGTTACATATTAAACTCAGCTGTTAAGCTAATACTGAAGTGTGAAAAACAACCAAGCCACCTTCCACTACTCCACAGGCCATTCCACCACAGCTCAGTGTGGCCATCATCACTGTGAAGTTATCTTGAAGCAAGATTACTTAAACCAGAGATTCCAGGTCCATAAGCCTAGACAAATATTTTTTGGAATATTTTCAAGAAGTTGAGGATCTGGGACTTTTGAAATGCTTGGCCTTGGTTTGCTAAGCATGTAACTATTAGTTAAAGTGCAGCTTAGAACTCAAGATAAATGGTTTGCACTAATGTGGGTCCACAGCTATATTCTCCCCTTTTACAACTTGTTAACATTATTACCACTAATTTATAGGGCAAGAGAAATTTACCAGTTGATAAAGTGAGCTTGTCCTTAGGCAAATAATTTGGTGGCTTTAAAGTGAGACTTCAAATTAACCCTGGTTACCTAATGCAGCATGTTCTCTTCAATGTTTTACATGAAAAACACCACAAAGTTTATTCACATCTTCCTTAAAAAAAAAAATAATAAAATAAAATAGGCCTATTGTTAAACACACTTAATGGAAGAGAAACTGATGGTGGGAATATGTAATCATACAACACCTGACCAGTGCCACAGTACAGCAGGTGCCCCATGCCCTGCCTGATCTTCCACTTCCCTGAACACAGTAATCCAGCCCTTAAACAATACTAGCCACACATGGCAAACAACAGACACTCACAGACTCCATTGGAATTAAAATCTCAGAATTATTTAAGGAAAATTGGGACTAGAAAGATTATTTTGTATCAGTTGCCAGCAAAATGGACAAATGCTCCCTCCCCTTAGAATCACAGAATCATAGAATGGTTTGGGTTAGATGGGACCTGCCTTGAATAAAGACACCTCCCCACTACTCCTTGTTGCTCAATTCCGCATCCAACCTAGCGTTGAACACTGCCAGGGATGGGGCATCCACAACTTCTCTGGGCAACCTGTTCCAGTGTCTCACCACCCTCATAGTAAAGCATTTCTTCCATATATCTAACCTAAACTGCCCCTCTTTCAGCTTGAACCTATTACTCCTTGTCCTATCACTGCAGTTCCTGTAAAGAGTCCCTCTCCAGCTTTCTTGCAGGCCCCTTCAGATACTGGAAGGTTGCTATGAGGTCTCCTCACAACCTTCTCCAGGCTGAACAGCCCCAACTTTCTCAGCTTCTCTTCACAGGGGAGGTGTTCTTCCCCTTAACCAACTTCATGGCCTCCTCTGGACTTGCTCCAACAGCTCCATATCCTTCCTATGTTGGGTGCACCAGGACTGTACACCGTATTCCAGGTGGGATCTCATGAGAGCAGAGCAGAGGGGAAGAATTGCCTCCATCAACCTGCTGGTCACAGTCCTTTTGATGAAGTCCAGGACAGGGCTGGCTTTCTGGCTGCAAGTGCACTGCCAGCTCATATTGAGTTTTTCATCAACCATCACCCCCAAGTCCCTCTCCACAGGGCTGCTCTCAATCACTTCTCCACCAATTCTGCAGGTGTGCCTGGGATTGCCCCGATCCAGGTGTAGGACCTTGCACTTGGCCTTGTTGAACTTCATGAGGTTTTCATGGGCCCACCTCCAAAGGCTGTTAGTGTCCCTCCGGTGGCATGTTAAAGAACACCTTTGCCAGTCTTTGTTTCATACCTCTTTTTCATTATAACATCTTTGGGCTGCATCATTTGAGCCATAGAAATCCATTCTGCTTGATTTACAAGCGCCCAAGCTCAGCTATTCCTATCTGTACAAACACTGTGTGTCACTAGGTCATCACAACAGAAGTCTATGTTGCCAGAAGATAAAACACGTCATGCTTGTTAACACACAAGTGTTATCTTGTTCGACCAGAAACTACCAAGTGTGCAATCACAGTGACACCCAGCCCTGTGAACCTTGTGTGAAGCCAATTATAGGTGAGGAGAAAAAGTACATGCACCAAAAAATGTTTATAAACACAGAAGTGCCAGTCTCAAAAGACTGAAAGAGCTTTACCACAAAAATCTACCTAGTTTTTTTAGGTGACAAATATATTTGTTTTCAACAAATCTTGCTTTAATGAAATACTACCTATGTTTGTCATGTGCTTTTAAATAGAAATTTATTTTCTTGGGAGGCATCCCGTAGCTATGCTGTAGCCTTCAACTCATGAAACGTTTGTCTTTTAAAGGTTATGTTTTCAACCTAAAATTGAGTTTCAGAGCCCTTTTGTGCCTAAGTGCAATAGCATTCAGAGAGAAGCCTATAAGCAGTAATACAACACTAAAGAACAGTTTTTTCTTATGTCAGAAATTTGCAAGTGCATTATACACTCACCTGGTTTTAAATTAAAAGCTAATTTGGGGTTTGCATGAGAATTTCCATATTTCTTTCCCCTTCGAAACTGTGAGGTTCTGTGGGAATTCTGTTTTTCTTTTTAAACCAGATGCCTTGGTTTTAGGTAGTCTGCTCTGTTAAAATAAAAAATGTCTAAAGGGCATTATCCACACAAAGAGCTGAAGGTCATTACCCAACTGTGCTCATTATCTCATTATATGGTCTAATTCGGTAATGTGTTTTCTTCCGGGATGTGATAATTAGTGTTGTGTTTCTTTGTTTCTAACAAAACCTTGGAGATACTGAAATCTTTTAAGGAAACAGTGAAGCATTTTGGAAGGCTCTGTGCAGTAAGAGTCAGTTACGACCCTTCCTAGTTCTTACAATTTCATGGCTGCCTCTTCCCAAAGCAATCTGCTCTTGGATCCCTGCTTTTAGGAAAACAGCTCCTAAAAAATGAGTACCAATAAACTGAAATTTTCTGGTGAGGAACATCTCTATATACACATTCAGAAAATGAAAATTCATTCTAAATAAGCCACAAAATCCACAGAGAGACTATGTGTTTTCCTTTCCACAGAGGATTCAAATAATGGTAATAACTTACTTTAATCAAGTTAGGGCCAGCAAGTATGTGTACTGTAACACAGCCAAGTCCTGAAATCATTACCTTAGACCCAGCATACACGCTGAACACTTTAGCAGCACACACTGCCTTCAGCTCCCAGGGAAATGTGTAGATTCTTGTGGGGATGTTGGGGTTTTATTATCTCACAAGGTCAAGCTCTTAGTCCTTAATCAGGCAAGAATCCAGATGAGGTCCACGGGAGATTTGCCAGCGAAAGAACTAACTGGAGAGCGAGAAAGGATGACTCTAAACAACTTGGGAGCAGAACTTTATAGAGAACAGAGAGAGCTTGCATATTGTACGCCTGATTCATAGGGAGTAATTTAGCTCACGCAGATGGCAGCCACATGTAAGAAGATCTGGCCGTATATATCCTATACTTGCGCCTTGTCTTCATTGAAAAGAGAAAAGCATCAGTGGATAAGCATGATTTCAATTACTAAAAATGTAAATTTTGACAGAATAAGTCCACTAATGAGATTTTCAAAACTGTTAAAGTTAACATAAAGGAATATATATTGAATTATAAAATAAAATACTTACTAACTAATGCACCCTTGAGGTTCTTTTCTGCTCTCCAGAATCCCACTAGAAAGTAAACAAACCCCACATGGAAACAAAATCATTCTCAACAAACAAGTAGAATTCCTCACTTAGGAAATGTCTCTCAAAAGGCTATCTGCAATATCAGCCAGAGCTCTGAAATTAATCACTCACTAAGGTATCTCTTTCCACTCGCCTTGAGGTAAAGTTTTGTTTCAGGAGTTTTTTACTAAATGCTACCACTCGCTTTTCTTTTTATCTAGGCAACAACTTACCCCCCGCTCATTACTGCCCTTCTTCCTTTCCAAAATACCAAAGAAGTTTCTCCTCCTTGATTTCCTCCTGCTCACAGAGTACGTGCTTATTAAGTACGTGCCCCTTTTGTTATCCTACTGGATTTCTCTCCATATAATTCTATACGGGCATTTGAAAAAATGCAGAGCTGTGGTTCTACAAGAGTTAACTGAGTCCAAACTTCCTTAATGTACTGACCAGCTGCTTGCTAGCTGTAACCAGAAGGAGCATGCACATTGGCAGTTAACTGTTAAATGCATTTTCAAAACTAATAGTAAGTTGAAAACAATTTGAGCTCTGGACATAAGTACAGTGTACACTCCCAGGTGAGCATCAGATATAAAAGGAGAACTGAGATGGCCTCCATATGAAATCACAATGGCTCTTCTCCTCAAATAATCTTTTATTAACTTTTGCTTTTTTTTATGGGAAATTGGGGAAAGGAGTTTTAACTCAGGAAATAAGTCATTTGTGCCCAATGCTAACACAGCATTTATAAGGCATGTATCTTGGTATCATCACTGCATGGAAAAAAAGTCTCAGGGAACCTCAAAGCCGACTCAGGTTTCACAAAAATACAAAATGTTCAAACACACATCTGAAGTACTTCCCTTTCAGAGACCCCACAGGTGTTGAAATCCACTTCCCTGTATGGCAAGGGTTCAACTCCCATTTAAGGGCTTACATGAAGAAGGCAAGAGCCCCCTTGACACTACAGATGGCAGGGAACACATGGGGGACCTGACTGCCGGTGATGGAGTACAATTTGTTGTCTTTTCCAATACACAAAAACTCCAGTTACTCCTCCTTGAGCAATCAAACAAACAAGACTTTAGGAAAAAAAAAGAAAGGCAGGTAAATTCTGTAAAAACTACTCACAAAATGCTAACCAAAGAAGGCTTTTTGTCCCACAACTTAACTGGAAGCAGATAGCTCAGTGAGCAGGATGGCTTTTTCCCTTTCAACAAAGACAAACCCAGCCCTGTATACAGGGTAAGCAGTGAGAAATCTTACAGTGAGACTTTCGAAGTGACTTGGCAACACTTAGAACAGTACAATTTCTTTTCAAGTACAATCGGTAAAGGATAGCATTATTCAGAAAACAGTCACAATATCCTGGAACTTAACAGATGCAAAGTAACTTTGCAGTGGAGTCAGCAGTCTGAGGAGCCTCGCACATGCTCTGCAAGCTTTCAAACAGTCCTCCAGAAAACTGGGGGGGAGGGGGGGAGAAGAAGCAGGGAGGGTTATGAGTAATACCTCTTCCTGCTAAACATTCAAGGTACACGTAAAAGCTATCATTGAGTCAGCACTTGGGGGTGGCAGTTCAGACAGTAAAATCTGGTTTGCTGGAATTTACAACAGCCTGAAGGTGGCCACTGCTATGCATCTCACATACCCATACATATATATTTTAATTATTACTATCATTTTTGTAGAAGAAAATAATATTCAAATGACACAATTCAACATATTCATAACTAGGAGGTGATATCAGGTTATGATTTGAGGAAAAGAACAAGAGCTCAGGACTGACAAAACTTAGATATTTAATAAATGGCATCTTAATACAAACAAAAAACAAGCAGACAAAGAACCTAATGCAGGGCCCAATTAAATTATGTGGTTTGGGGGGGGTTAGACAAGCTCATATTTCAAGCTTTCACTTGCTTACACCATGGCATGCAAGGTGTAGCACCAAGTGTGAAAGGTTCCAGCTCAGAGACCAGACAAGGGCTGCTGACTCTCATTTATTCAACAGTTTTTATAGGAAAAGCATGAAAGTTTCAACATTGCATTGTACAGTGGTGCATTTCCTTTTCATAATGTATTGTATATCACTGTAGGAAACTCTGCTAAGCTGGGAAACCCTTCTTACGGATACAGTTTACATAAGTCACATGAACAAAAGAAGTGCTTCTGCCAGTTTTTCATGTACTTTTGAGTAAGGATGTATAGCTATGCCAGTAAATCAAATTGTTTTGTTGCCACATGTTCCAGTTCTGACAGGCTATGCTTTACTTTGTGGTTATGTCTAACTGTGCCACCAGGTGAACCACAGATCAAGTTACTCAAAATACCTGAACAATACTTCAATACTCTACTTGTGCAAGAGGAAATTTATTTTTGACCTAGTACAAACCTGAGCCACTGCAAAAAAGGGAGGTTCCACTACCCCTGTCACCCACTTTCACGGGTCCCTGCGTTTGCTCTAGCAATCATGATGATTCAGGGAAAACCAGACCCTTCTAGGACTTCAAAAGCTGTCACATAAGCACACAGGAACCAGGCTGAAACTTGTTCTTCCTATCAGTAGTTTAACTTCATGGAAGGGAATGGAAGTTAACATCCACTATTTCACTAATATCTCATGAGATCTGTGACTGGTCGTACAATGCAGAAGCAGTCTCAACATGACACTGCAAGTGAAGTCACTTGGTTAAGCATAACCCTCACTGTGTCCTGCTTTAGAAAAGCCACCACCCCCAACTGATCAACTGAAGCATGGTATGAACATTTTCTACTGGATACAAACAATTGAATAATAAACACCCCTATCCCCCACCCCCCGACGTCAACACAGACCTGACTCATAATCCGAGAGAATCCAGGCAGAGCAGTTCAACTGCCCCATTACTCTCAGCCCTACCACCAGAGCCACAGGCTTGGCTGGAAAAGGACTGAGTTCTTGTTGAGCACAAACACCCTTTTCTTTGGACAACAAGGCTACAGTAAAATAATAAAATACATTCATAAATAAAGGACAGGAGTATACTCTCATTTACCAATTCTTTATTGTGCTTACTATCAACTATTAATAGTTTAGTAAATTCCCTTGGACCATTAACTGCAGTTTTCGTTCACCATAAATGCAAAGAAAGCCCCATGTATCACCCACTATACACTGCTCAGCCATTCTATGAAAAAAATGTTTATCTTTAAAGCTTCCAATGTAACTGCCCTGTTATATTTAAATGTTCTTTGAGATCATCCAGGAGATTACAAACATGGTTGTTTAAAAAGTCTGTGCCAGCTGTTCTATGTGTATATTAGGAGCATTACAAAGGCATCAAATACTCATTAGTGATGAGATCATCCCAACTAAAAAAACATACTAATACACATCTTGGATACAGACAATCAGAGTGAGGTACTGGACACAGGAGGAAGAACATACACCCAAAGAAAAAGGGGAGCAGAGAGCATGATATGCTCCCTGCTCTCATTGTCCCACTGAAGAGTGAGGAAAAGGATTACTTCCCTTCATTGTCACAACAACCCTTGCACATCAGGTTCGCAGTAAATGTCTCTCCAACCATACCAACCATGGCCTATTTAACAAAATAGCATCAAGGACCTAACAAGAAGCTGCTAGGAAGAAAAAGCAAAGAAACTCTTGTGTCACAAATGGAGAAGGAGCGCCAAAAGACTTCAAACGAGAACACCATTTCAGGACGTGGTGTGCTACACCACCTTCAAATCTCTGCCATTAAACTGTCCTAGAGACATAATGCTATACAACTGTGCCAGCATCAGACACCTACTGACTGGTTTAGGATGGAATTAAAAGGGTAGAAGATGTAGCAAATCTGCAGAAAGGTATGAACACGAACCCTTACTGGCTGTAGGGCTTGTAGCCCACCAAACAGCAAACTGAATCCCCAAGTGAGCATTCCAGCAAGAGATCCCACCAGGGAGCACAAGCATACAGGTTGGTTGCCTCCAAAAATGTAAGGAAAGCAACTGGAACAAGAAGACAACACAGGTATCAGAACTGAATCAATTAGTTCAGTCAACTAGTAGGAAAAATGTTGATTGCTCCAATTAAATTCCTTCAGTCCATTAGGTCAAAAAAGACTGATTCATTGCTCAGAAATCCTCCCTAATAAATCCTGATTTTCTTTGAGCAATCTTGTCAAATCATAGATACTTGATTGATACATGAACACTTGACCTTTAAAACCATCTCAAGTGCATTATTATTTCTTCAGAGAAAGAGGGAAGATACATTCTAGGACTCCTCAAGGCAGAACAAAATAAAGGAGTTCTTTGTTAGCAACTTTTACTTGAAATGTTTTAGACGGTTTCTTGGTTAATCCTTTGCGTAGTGCTTGTGTGATGTTGAAACAAACAGAAGGATGAGCTGGTTTGGTTTTCTCCACATACAAGAAGATTTTAACAACATCACTAAGCACTCAATATTCAGAACTGTGTCATTAGAATTCTTTTCTCCTGAATCACATCAATAAAGCTGAAGTTCAATCTAGCATTCATAAGAGATGACTTACAGGCTTCCTGCTGCAAATGTACTTTTGAGATCCAGTATATATAACAGAGACACAGAATTAAGTAACTTTAATTTTCCTTATTATTTTATAGAAAATGAACCATCATGCGGTCTTAGATATTATCTTAGGCAAGAAATAGCTCAAAAAACCCCTAGCTTTGCAAATTTCAAAAACAAAAAGGGAAAAAAGATTTCAAGAGAACACAAGCAAGAACCAGCTCTTTTTCAGGATTGCTTTTATTTTTCTGCTACTGGCATGAGGCATTCCTTATTCTGACATTTCGGGGGGGGGGGGTTCTCCTTTTTTACTATCATTCAAGTCAGGTAACAGGCCTTTTAACAGCAGACACTGGGGAAGCATTTGTCAAGTGTTACAGTTAAGACAATTTTAATCTTCTGAAAAACCTCAGAGTCCTTCCTATGATGCCTGCTTTAGTTCTCTTGCTTCCGTCTGTGATGATAC